TAAATTTATTCACATGGTCAGTTAGGATATGTGGTTAACATATTAGAAAACTAGGTCATGTCAGTCTTTATCTAGGTCAAAATTCAAAATCCAAGTCATTTTTTTTATTTTCACAGATTTTGAATTTCCTTTTTTATCTTTCAATATTTCTTGCTATAAATTAATTTCTAGACTCCTCTTAGTATTTCCACAATGTCCCCATTCTATGTCTCGATGACAATTTTACAAAGGAGTTGGGTAAACTAGCCACAGAGAGTGCCCCAATTGAAGTGTGAAAAAACTTTTTTTAAGAATAGGAGAAAAAAACATCAGAAATGCATAGATTGAAGTCTATATTTTTGGGTAGTATTTTTAAAAAAATTTAGAAAAAATTGTTACGGTGTCTGGAGACCTTCAAAGAGGGTGGGGGCCAGAAGGAATGATTCACATATTTTGCAACCCTCTTGATGAATTCCAATTTACTCAGCTATGAATGAATGTTTTTGATTTATCTGTCCAGGATTATGTAAATATATATTTATTTGATCCATACATACAATTTATTTAAACAATATGTACAGTTTAGAGGTAAGTAAAGCTTTGAAAGGACATTTCATGCTGAGTCTGGGTGACATTTTTTATTCAGTGGAGGTAGTAATCCTTTGAGTGTTTTCACATAGAGCATAACAAGTCTCCACTCTAATAAGTGCTTCTTTAGTTACATAAATGTTATATTGTTGCATACAAAGAATAATTTTGATGGAGACTTATTATGCTCAATGTGAATTTTAGAACTTTATAGAAAATTTTTCCTGCCATTTTTGTTGATTATTCAAAATGGCCAAATGCTATTCATGCTGTATGTAGGAAGCAGGGCATTATAAAATTTTAGATGCTAAAATACCTGAAACACCAAGTGGTTATATGTGCACAACATCTGAATCGGGTAGTTCAAGTGATGATGAGTAAAACTAATCAGAAAATGTTTCATTGTTATTTCATTAACAAGCCAATGATGAAATGTGTTGAGATTTTAGATGTTTTTCACCTTTTATGTGATCTCCAAGAAGTGATTATCTCTGTTATCTGTACTTACTGTTTCCTAGACATTATCAGAATGATTGATAATAAACTTAATAGTTGCTTTAAAATTATGTTGACTAATATCATTATGTTGAATTATAATATATACAGTGTGTGTGTTTAGTGTGTGGTTTTTAGCATACCCTATGTCGCTAACAGGAAGCAGGACATTTTTCTCATAAAAAATAAACATTACTTTACGAGTCAAATCATGAAATGTACATTCTGAATTTAAGTGAATTAAAAATAATAAAGTATCTTCATTATTTTAGGTACTTTTGTTCCCCTTTAGTGTTGCGTGGGAAGGGCGGAATATATTAATATAAATATCTCATTATTGGCAAATTGCCAATTTACTATATATTGTAATTCCAACCTCTATGAGACTAAATTCCTACAGATATTTGTATTATTTTAACCAAAAATGTGTATTCTGGTAGAAAATAATGAATTTTTTTAATTTGACATTGACCTGGGGAATATGACCTTGACCTAAATTTTCATACATTTTTGAAACACATATATCACATAGATTAATAAAATAAAGAGAAAACTTGAAAATCAGGTGGGGCTTAAAATGGCCTTGTTTACCCAACTCCTTTTGAGAAATTTGACTCCCAAAAAGGGTGAATTACAAAGTATTTCAAATCTATCGAAATTGGTATCAATCTAATAGTGATCTTGAAGCTATTCGTAATCTGAAAGTGAGTTTTACAGGGAAAGTGAAAGTCAGATTTCAGGGGTCATGTCATTAGGGTTTGGAAAAAACAATTTACTTTAACATTTTATTTCCGAACTTTATCTGCGCATACAGTATATTGACAACTGTACATGACTGTATCTTCATATATTATCCCCTAGTGCATAAATATCTCAATGCAGTTAAGTGTGTTATAAAGTGTCTGCACAAATAAATATTCTTATTACTATAGATTATGAATTTGTGTTTGAAACCGTGCAGTTATTGTCTAAAGATGCAATGTTGTGTGTAAAACGTGTAGTTTCAAATGTGTACGAAATGAACAGCTGGTTTCCAGTGACAATACAGTGATTTAAATGACCAAAATTAAATTAAATACATATACGCATACTATCTACTAATAATATACCCATTGAAGCTTTTCATATAGATGCTGAGTTGTTTAGGCAATTTGTGCAGGGAAATTGTCAAAATCGGTCAAGTATGTTAAAATGATTGCATTTTTAGTAGAATGCATACTTTGACCCTAAGAGAGATGCATGCATTGATTGCATTGCTTATGTGTCTTGCTGAACCCCACCAGGAGGCCTTCCAACTGAGATAATTCCAACCCTGATGCTTTTATTTGCGCCTCCTCCATATTCCTTGTTAAATTTTCGTCACAGGGCTTAAAGAACAACAACTGGCAAGGGCGGGATGTCCTTGGATTATTTGAAATACACCCATATGCATTTTTTGAAACTGAAGGTGAAACAGTTAATACATTTTATGAGATGGCTGGTAATTTTTGGCCTAGAACTTTTGGTATGCGACATAGCCTGTCACCTTACACTGCAATATACTTCTCCTCACATTGATCTGGCTGAGATCTTACCCTTGCTACCATGTACTCTCCCTGATGTTCGATGTTGACATTATTTTGCAACTGTTTCTCAGTCATAAATTATGTTTGGCCGATATAATGGGAACTATATGCATCAAATGCACGCTGGTCATCTCTTGAAGAATGGAACAATATGAGGAATAATTGAAATGATCTCCCATTTGCCCTTAGCTCAACTGATGCAACATCCCATGAAATACAGGCCAGAAAATGAACCCCAGTCGCTGTGTCCATAGTTGGTTCTTAGGTCATGTGAATGATGCACAAACATTTGTTTATATGGCAAACATTGGGCCTGAGGGACCTTTAGTATTTCCTAAAGACTATTGATTTTTAGTGGATAATGTATATCCGTCTCGATACCCAATCCTTTATAAGAGTTCTAAAAACGGAAAATTCTAAATGTACGTAAACCTTTTAAGCGGCTAAAGAAAATTGGGAGTAGTCGGAGCTACAGGGTATGTACAGCATGTGGTTGGTCACATCACTATAATAATAACAATTGAAAACATCTTGACATTTTTTGTTTATGGTGTTCAGATGATAATTTTCAATGTCGCTATTCTCTAAAGAGTAACATTTGTAACTATTGATTTATCAATTATACCTATAATAAAGTTTTAATGCTACTGAACTCAGGACATGACCCCTGAAATCTGACTTTCACTTTCCCTGTAAAGCTCACTTTCAGATTTTGAATAGCTTCAAGATCCCTAATAGGAAGTTTGCTAAGGATTCCGAATCTGAAATCGACATCAAGATCTGATTCGGGCTGACCTTCTGTGACCTTTTAAAGCAAAAAGGTCAATTTTAAAATCTTTATTTCGACTTAAAAAGAGTTAAAACAATAAAGAAGGACGTTAAAAAGTTTCTTATCTCAAAATGTTGAGTGTCAGAATCTAGGTAATTTTTCTAATTTTCGCGGTTATCAGACATATACCTGTCAAGTAAAAAAAATAAAATAAAAATCGGAATATTTTTCGTTTTAAAACTCGGGAGAAGTCGGGATCTTTTTAAGAAAAATTGGGAAAAATTCGGTATTTCTATAAAAAAAATCGGGATTGTTTAGAGGATAATCGGGAGAAATCGGAAGTTTACAACAAAAATCGGGAGGAAATCGGGGTTAACATAGGTAAATTGATACGTTTTTGAATTGCATTTGGGCTGTTTACTATTTTTGTTTATTAATTCATCCATGAGATATCATCTGCATTAAACCGAGTAACACATCATAATTATTAAAGTGAATACACCCTCAAAACTTGACGTTATGGTCCTGCAATTTAACCAAGCTTAATCATGATTTTCCGTATTATTCACTTGGACCTCACAGCACATTACTTGCAATGGTTAAATATCAGAAGTAATTATGCAATCTACAACTAGTCCTCAAAAAATCAATTATCTTTGTGATAAAGCATGATTACGTGTTTGTGTTATACATGAAGTCAAAGAATACTTTCAATAAAAACGTATCTATGCGTTCAGTACGTTGTATTGAATATCTCAGTCTCAGAATGATCGATTAAATTAAATTCTGGTTTCAAATAGTTTAAGAAGTAAATAAGCCAACGGTACATATGTGTAGTAAGCTAGTTCGTTTTATCACAAAAATGCTTTTGCATATTTGTATTCACCACGTTCCAACTTTTATTGTAATGGCTCCTATATGCGTTTCAATTGGTCGGAATTTTTCAGTCCCTGAACGTTCGATTTAGTTCTGGTCTAGAATACTGTAGTTAAAAGAAGATTAAATGGCTTTACAAGTGTATTTGTATGTGAAGTTAGCTACTGTATTTTGTTTTATCACAAAACCTGTCGTATACTTTCATTTTTTGCGAGGGCATTTCATTAACAAATCGGGAGTTTTGAACGAAAATCGGGAGGGTACCATTTAAAAATCGGGAGTTTTTTGTGAGGGCATATTTTCTTAAAATCGGGATATTCTACAAAAAATGGGGATATTTCCTTAAAATCTTTTTTTGAAAATCGGTATTTTGAAAAATTAATCGGGATGAGCAATAAGAAATCGGGATTTCTCCCGATTTAAATCGGGATTTGACAGGTGAGCAGACAATATTTACAAAATTTCTTGCAAGGAATTGATATCTAGACTCCTCTTAGTATTTCTAACAATTTAACCAATTTTGAGAAATTTGTCTCAAAAAAGTATATATCGCAAAAGTACTGAAAACCAATTGATGACAGTCACTCAAATAACCGTACCGTTTCCGAAATACCAGTAAAAGTATTAGACCAGGTTCTTTTCTTCAAAATACCTCTCTGTAAGATGTGGTAGGCATTTTGTGTTAAAAGTGTTTCTGTTGTAACTTTTTATGTTGAATCCAACCACCCTTAAAATACCGAGTTTCTAAGCACCCTGAAAATTGCATAATGAGAGAGAAAAAAGTATCGATAATTCATATAAAATGAAGATTTGTATGAATTATCGATACTTAGCTTACGATCATGTATTGGATGTTGAACACGCCAAGGAGGCTCATGACTTTGCATATGTGAATTATCAGATATTTCTCCAATGAAAAATTCAGAAGAATCATCATGCTCAGACTGATCTACATCGTAAGCTTCAACACTGACACCTTGAACATGGCTGCTTTTGCTTTACACACTGAAGAAAAATGATTTTTCTTTTTGCACTTATTACAGATTTTGCCTTGTGCTGGGCAAGATTTTCCATCATAATGATTGTAGCCGCATCTGGAATATTTCTTTGATGAACTTGATTTGTCATCATTGTTTGTTGACTGTTTCTGTTTGGACCTTGGCTTGGCTCTGCTCCTACGGCTGCCATAGCTGAGACGGTCTACATTATTTTCAGGAGTAGGTTTCTTGGATTGTCCCTTAATCAATTCATGAGAACGAACTATTTCAATTGTTCTTGAGATAGTCAGGGGGTTATCCATCTGCAATCAACCAATGTCCATCAGCCAATGTCTGCAGTTTCTCCGAGAGAAATTCATCTTCGACATTCAGAATTATCCTATACCTAATCTGTTCATCTCTGTTTTCATATTCACAGTGCTCGCTAAGTTCATACAAGCTCTCAATGAATGTCTCAATGCTTTCATAATTCCTATCCTAAGAGCGCAATCCGAATGTTTTGCGTTCATGTATTACGTTTACCTTGGGTATGAAGTAGTCGTTAAAGTGCTTCAAAACATTATCATATGTGCGTAAATCACCCTGAGGCTGTGCTGCGTCCGCACCCTCAACAGGCTCTACAGGTTCAGCAAATTGAAACGATTTGTAAATAATATTTGCTTGTGGCCCCATAGTGTATAATAATTGAGCAACTTGTGTTACCTCATCCTCTTTGTGGAGTTTTGAAGCTTGGCGGAATGTTATGAATCTATCTCTCCAAGCTGGCCATTCTGCTGGTCTGTCGAACTTAAATTCTGAAGGTGGTGAAAACGTAGCCATGATCACTAGAAATGTTAACACTACAATTGTAGTATAGTCATATAGTCTACTTGCAATGCAATATATCACCGCTGAACTTGAGTTTCCAAAATGTAAATCCAGTGATCCGCGAAGCATAAGATTCACTGTTCACTTCCTCTCCGCGAAGTTCTATCACGAGTAGTTCACGTGTGACGTTGTACGACAGATTTTGGGAATTTTCCGCTGGAATATCTGTGAATTCTCAGACTTGAGTCCCTAATTTTTCTTCCGTCAGTGCTTTTCAGCTTTTATCTCAAAGCCTACGAGTTCTTGATAGATAGTTCTATCCTCTGACGACTGAATCCATTAATCTGACACCATGCGAACTGATCATTTCGTTCAATAACAATCAGACATAAAACTTTGGGTTCATTTGTAATGGCGTTTATTCTCACTTTTTATATCCCGGATGTAGGTACTGGACGAAACGTTTATCAAATAACAATCATGATAATCCCGGGGATTGTTCACACATTACACATATATCATTACAATACCCCTGAACAATGTTAAGTCATATAGAAACCCCCCTCCCCATTAACTCTTTTCTATGTTGTGTTATTAAAAAAATTCGGTTATTAAATTAAATTGATATATTTGAATCTAATAATGGTATAAGACAGCTGCATATATGGTATGAAAGAATCTGATGCCATGCTGGCAAGCTGAAATATGATTTTTAACCCTTAAAATACCATGTTTCTAATCACCCTGAAAATCACAAATATGTATATTCATGTGTATTCATACTGATTATGTTTTTAACTTCTAATACCCCTAAAAAATGTTTCGCCACATAACCCCCCCCCCCACCATTAACCCCTTTTCTATGTTTTATTATTAAATAATTCAGTTATAACACACAGTGATATCGTTGAATCAAATAATGGTATAAGATAGCTACTGTATATATATATATGGTATGATATAATCCAGTGAATAGACTGTTTGAGGTGCGTCACACTTAAAAGTGAGATTGAGTGGTCTTTCTCAGAGATCTGAATTTTGTAAATTGATGTGTACATTTGCTAAGTTTTTACTTTCTCAAGTTATCTCTAGATGACACTAGCACTAGATGTTTTCAGTGTTATCGTACACTTAGATCCGTTAGTAGGACATGAAATTTAATTTACAATTCATCTGGTGGGACAAAACTTGACCCCTGAACATATTGGGTTAGCCAGTAATCTGCACCAAGCTACAAGGTCAAAGTAACTGGTGCACTTATTCCACAATCCAGGTCACTGTCTCAGCTTTGACAATGTGAAAGAAATGGACACCTTTCTTGCATAACAAACATAAGTATCTCTTAACTTAGAAAATTTTACAGCTGACAATATTGACATCAGTGATTCCTTCCTTGGTGGGAAAAACATGCCATGTCATTCAAATGGCAGCTTGACGGCGTGGTCCTGGAGAACCAGTTATTTTGCACCATCTTCGAAATTCAACCATCAAAGAGAACCTGAAATGTTCCTGATGCCATGGACCATATAGTAGATGCAAACATGCCAGTGTGAAACCCAACTTTGAAAGATATTGAGAGGAGTGGTTTAAACCTAGTTCTAAGAAATAACTTGACAAAGCAAAACTTTTTTATATGACTAAACATATTCAGGGAAGTTAAAACACAATCATGAACACAAAATATATATGTGTGATAAGAAAACTCCATGAAATAAGATTTTTATGAATCATTGGTACTTTTTCTCTCTCGTAATGCAATTTTCAGGGTACTTAGGAACAATGCATTTTAAGACTTAAATGAGCATATTTCAGGTTACCAACAGATAAGCTCATTCCATTATATACAGGTTGATAATTATGCTCTAAATTTTTTATTTGATATGGAAACAATATGAAATTCACACAAATTAAAGATCAAGATGTTAGCTTCATTTTACTATATTACATTTATTACTTTACACAAATATATTCGATGTATACGCGCAACATTGAATGCGCTTTCTGCGGAGCAGCTGTGTGTTTTTCATTCATTTTTGAAAAACATTTCATGTTCATATGTTTCCCTGCTGTTCACATCACTACTGTAATGCTGCTACTTCATTCCTGATATTCCTAAAGAGCATTGTACATTGTTGATTCACTCATCCACATACTGTCCTTTGCTGGAGACAATTTGTCTGTGCCTTTCCAGCCAGGATTGGAAGACAAAATCAAAACCACTGTTGGACATATCCTGCAGAGCCAACTGAACCGAGCGGCGCAATTGTACCTCGCTCTCGTGTTTAACTCCATTAATGCGCTGCTTCAAATCACCATAGAGATAAAAATCAGATGGCGCTACATCAGGTGAGTAGGGAGCACCAAAGAGGGTCTCCATAGAAAGTTTCTCCATCGTGTCAAAGGCCTTCTTGGATCTGTGGATAGGCGCATTGTCCAAGTGGATAATTGCCTTCCCGACAAGCTCGGGTTGCTTCTTTCTCAAAGCGTTTTGAAGATCACGCCGAATCACCTGGAGATAAAAAGGGTGACTTCTATTCAGTCATATGGAACCATTGGAAGTTGGTAAACTCTACAAGCCTTAAGTGGTTATTAGTTTTATGTTTATTATTCAAATAACTTACTTTGCTGTAGTATGCAGCATTCACTGAAGTACCATAGGGAACGAAATTGGAAAGCACAACACATCTTCTGCTAAGGAATGTGATAATCATCCTTTTCTCCCCGTTTTGCCACATCCTTCCTTCTACCCTGGCATCATCGCATGGAGCATTCTCTGGGAGCCATTCACCTCCCATTTGTTGGTATGGCGGTTGGTAGAAATACACCCAAGCCTTATCAGTTGTGATAAGTCTATTGAGGAAGTCATCTCCTTCTCTCATGTGTCGCTCTAAGAATGAAGTAGAGACTTCAACCCTTTTTTGCATCTGCTCTGCACTGAGACTGTACAGTACCCATCTGGTTGCCACCTTCAAATGTAGATCCTTCTTTAGTATACGAAATATACTTGACTTGGGAACACCCAAAGCTTTGTATATTCCCCGCACTGATACCCGGTTATCCTGCTCTATCATTTCTTGTACAAACTGGCTGTGTCTTGTGTCTGGTCTGCCAGACCTTTTTTATCATCAAGTTTCGTCCTCCCTTCAGAACCGAACCATTTATGCCACCTATACACAGTGAGGTTGGACAGTCTTCTCTCACCATATGCTTGTTTAAACTCCTTTATAGTGTCACTGGGTTTACCCCCTGTCTTCTGAAGGAATTTTATGACTGCTCTCTGCTCTAATTTTTCATCTTTGCTCAACGTTGGTGGCATAATGTACACCTCCCTGGAAATTCCTAGGTTGTGTTTCTAAGAGTTTTCCTTTTGTGAAACCCTATATGACATCATCATGTGATGTCATAATATCAGATTAAAGTGATAATCCTGTCATAATGAGATAAATTACATAATATTAAACCACTATGACATCATGCAACTGTATACAATTACCATAACAATGATTTAAAAACTTGTAACATTATCACAGAATAACTTCTTTTCTAAACTAAGTTTGAACCTTTATAATATACGGAAACTGCTCCGCAGAACGCGCATACATGTTGCTATGGCAACTATACATGGAATATTTTTGTATAAATTCATGAATGTAATACAGTGTGTCTCAAAAAAATGTTACACTTACAAAAAGTTCAATATCTTTCATAATTTTGACTTTCCCCTAAAATATACTTTGGATACCAAAAGACAAATCTTTCTCAAATAATTTGACACCATCAGATTCAAAATCTGTCTTTGATTGACTGCACAGGACAGTTTTTAGTGTCCCATGGTAAAATCTGAATTGCGCCAATTTTTAAGTGATTGGATGGACCAAATGACAAAAGAGGAACAGTTTCTTTAACATTTAACTTTCTTCTGAGTTAAAGCTTGACCTTTAACTGAGCATTCTGTAATTTTCCTATTTGTGTTTCATATGATCATTAGGTCTATCCACATAAACATGTGGTCCCCTCAACATCTTCTCCAAAGCATATCATGCGTACCCTTGCCCATGCGCACAGGCATTGTGATATCACATTGATTCTATCAATTATTTTTGCAGAAGTTCATTTAGCATGTTTAGGTCAGTTTGTAATGCTGTAAAGCGCTTCCAGAAGCCCTTCAAAAAATCAAGGGTGTAAATTGGGATGACCCCAGGGCGAATCAATCAGGTAATTCAATGCTATCCTCTGATTTCCAAAGAGTTCTACCAAAAGATCTGCCACAGGCCTTTGCACCATCCTGTTGCCATCATACGTAACAAAATTGAACACCTGATACCTGATAATGGAATCTTGTATTTCTATCCAGGAAAGGCACATCTGGATCATTGATCATATCAAGATATCACTGTCCACAGCATTCACACCAAAATAGAATTGATCACTACATGTCCAACCAATGAGAAGTTGGCGCAAATCAGATTTTACATGCGTCTGTAAAATCTGTCCTGTGCAGCCAATCATGGACGGATTTTGAATCTGATGGTATGGATTTATTCGAAAAAGACTGGTCTTTTAGTATCTAAGGACATTTTAGGGAAAAAGTCAAAATCATAAAAGATATTGAACTTTTTGTAAGTGTAACATTTTTTTTGAGACACACTGTATAGCAAAATGAAGCTTATATCTTAAACTTTAATTTGTATGAATTTCATATTGTTTCCTTGTCAAATGAAAATTTAAGAGCATAATTATCATAACTTCTGGGACACCATACTATTATTTGATTCAAATATATCAATTTAATTTAAATGCGTTATAACAGAAATTATTTTATAAAACAATATAGAAAAGAGTTAATGGGGAGGGGGAGGTGGCTATATGACAAAACATTGTTCAGGGGTAAAATGAGTTAAAAGCATAAAACATAATGAATACACAAGATCCCACAGTTTTATAGACCCAACTTGTGAATAGAAATATAGATTATAATATTAATTACATTCAACACGAATACGTTTTGTTCA